AACACGCCAAAAACAAAAAAATCACCAAAAAAAACAAAAAATCCTAAATTAATTCTGCATCCATAGCCTAATTACTCCTTGAACAGGGGTATATGGGAATTATAATATATAGGGGACTACTATAGGGGGTATGGGTCATATGAGCCACCTCAATAATGGAGGATCAAATGGAAAAGAACATGGAACATGAAATGGAAACTGGGATTATGTAGGGTTTAAGGATATATCATACATATATATATATGTGTACGAGCCATAGTCTAAAATCCTTCAAAACGCGGGTTTGATAGAGGGCAGTACACTAGGGCTTACTAAAGGGGGATGCTGGGAGTTTAGACTATGGCTCACATGACATACACGTAAAATCTTGGATTGCATGCAGCAGCGCGTATAGAGACAGGCGTTGGTTTAAAGCTTGGCACGAAGTGCCTTGTTGAACTGTTGGTTCACATATTTGATATTGCTGTCTCGTACCGCTGGCATCCTTCAGGACACTGACCATGTGTGGACAATGGCTCTCCGCTTCGTGCGCGACCGGTGCGTCTGCGAGACGTCTGCTGGATTCAAATGCCCAACGAGAAGCTCGACAGGATCAGCAATTCAAGTGTCCGTCTTTGTGCAGACGCACAAGAGGAGTAATTTCTGAACTGCTATTTCTAGTCAAAAAGTTCTGTGCTACTTGCATCAGAACCGCAACTTGGATGGATCGTGAAAGTGAGGTTTTGACTACGGCGCTGTGGTCCTTTTCTCATCAGATGAATCAACCGACCGAGCAGAGTATGCTCTACTGCCTCGCCTTGTCGAGAGTGTCTGCAACCCAGTGTCTCCATGATGCCAGGCTTGCAAAGGTTGCATCTGTCCAGGGGTTGAGCCGCCTAAGGGGCTGCAGATCCAGTCGCTTGAAACCTGTTTCGGGGGCTGCTGAGGTTTTCGATGTACGCCAGTGGAGACTCATTGATCACCACGAAGCTCATGCGCGAATGAGCCGCTGGGACTGTGTAGAGCGGTGCCATTGCAAATTGCCCCCTCCAAGCCAGCAACTAAGCCGCGTCAGTCAAGGGTTCCGACAACGATCCTCTACGCATACCGCCTGCAGATGTCAAGTGCGAAGCGACAGCTAGAGAGTATCGACATATGTGCCGTTGGGCAGATTGACAGCGCAAGATTCAGCCAACGGCAAGCAGGTTTCCATGACTCGCGCTTCAATTCCGCGCTGATGGTTAGCTTCGACGGCAGTGGAAATGATGGCACCCTGGCCATGGACTTCCGGCGGTGCTGAACGTGTGGATCAAATCAAGTATGGCATCATGTTGCATTCTCTAGAACCACAGTGCTGCTGCCGCTGCTTCAGCCGCCGCTTCTGACGTTGTGCGATGTGCTGTAGCAACTCGCGGGCATCATGAACAACATCTGATAAACTCTGGCAGCCTCAGCGCCTGGAGCCCCCCCTGAAGCGAAGCATCATACTCTTTGCGAGATAGTGTTGCTTGACATTGACAGGGGTGGTGGGCCGGGAGCTAGGCCCTCAAACCACTACCCTATCTCAAAAGCCGGCATGGCATGTGCTAGGCACTTTCAACGTTTATTTTGGAAGCGGCCGCCAACTGCACCGACTGGGACAGCTGGGCATCACTCTGGGCTTGCGCAGCTTGGCGCAACACAGAAAGGCAAGGATGAGAATGAACACCCGGAACGTCCAGCAGCAGTATCAGCACAAAGCTTGAACTCACTCTGTTTGGAAAGTTGTCTACAAGCGCAGCATGTTTCGCGGTATGATGGGTCCTGTTTTGGGATTCGTCTTGAAGGGATCTTGATGTTCAGGATTTTGCTGGTGACCGAGCCCTACTGGTAGGAGAGCCACGGGAGAGCCCTTAATTAGAGGCCTAAGAATCGACAAGTTGGGCTAAGTCAGATCCCATACGGGTAGATACACTGCAGTAGCAGGGCAAGGCCTTGTGGAATGAACCAAGGATACACTGCCCTGGCTGCCTTCATGCTCCACTGTTGCATGTAGTCATAGGACGACAAGGGCGCAGTACCACGATAGAGAACGATTGCTGATGATGGATCGGAATATGCCATTTGGTGAAAAGTTGCCATCGCAGCGACGCCAAGGAGTCACGAGGGCAGATGTTACGGTACCCAACACTTACTGCTGTAGATTGCCAAGGACTGAGATTTCACAGCACGACCTGGCAAGGAATTGTCGAAACCTTTCCGAAACTGTTACGTGGCTGCAGGGACACGAAGAAACACGGTTCCGTGGAGCATGAGAGCCATGATGCGCAGGCTCAAGTTTAGCAGATGAAGCGTGGGATCTTCTTACAACAGTTCCAACAAATTCTTATGGCGGGCCATAAGCTGCGTATAACCCACTTCCTTATCCACTGACAGGCCCTTCGACCCGGGCCCTTTGCCAATGTAGGAGCCCGCCGTGGCCAATTCCATCTCTATCTCCCTTCCCTCCCTCACCCAAAAATGTCACAAGTTGTCATACCAATACCATGAATCGCTTCCCCTAATATTAAATCCCCCCTCATATAAAATATGGGTTCCCTAGACTTCCAGATTCTGAAATCCGGCCCCCAGACAACCTTCAAAAGGGCTAAGACTAAAGTTAATTACGGCGCGGATCCTCTCAATTTAGGGTGGATTCCTAGCACGACTCTTCAGGATAAGGGATCTCCTTGATTTGCTAGACTTGGATGGTTTTGAATGGTGTTGGAATTAAACAGAATGTGAGTGCCAGTTTAATCCGGTTTATTGCGATTTTACATCGTTTATTTTGATTAGTTTGTAGTTGGACTCTACGTAAATTTCAATAGATTTTAGAAATGTCAACTGGATTTTTGGGTGTGATCACGTTTTGACTTGATTTCCTATGGTTTTGTTTAGATGTTCACTAAATTTGACTTGGTTTTAATGGACTTTTAAATGTTTAATCGAAAGGCAGTCGGACCCTATACTACACCCTTTTGCCCCGATATTAGATACGGTTCGGAGTATATACATTAGGGTGGAGCCCTTTAATATTCGGGGCAATGAGTACCCGTGTCATAGCTGTTATGATTTGTTGTGATGCTTCTTGTTGGCTTTGACTGTTGCAGTTCTAACCAATGCAACCACCTGCTGCCTTCTATAATAGTAATAATAATAAGGATAGTAATAATCGTAATAATAAGAGTAGTAATAATGATAGTAATAATAAGAGTACTAATCGTAATAATAATGATATTAACTCCCCTTCCTCCCCTTCCTCAGGTTGATGCAGCCTTCGCAGGTCCGGTGGACTTGAACAGCGTGGGTTTCACCCTGCTACTGGGCACACGAGTTAAGTTGGAGAAATACGCATGGCGCATGAACCAGCAAGTGATGATCACCCAGTCCAAGCTCGGGCATCTCCCCAGCTTCAGATTCTTTTTGGCGCTTTAGGATTCTTAGCCTTCTGCAGAGGGGCACTTGTCATACTTGCTGAAGGTAGTTCGCGCGAGAGGCTCTGGTTCAAGGGTAAGGACACGAAACGCTCGGCTACCTGCACGACTCCAGAACGGGGCACCAGTCTTGGCACATAACCGTACTCGCCTGTATACGGGTTGTTTGCCCGAGGCTTGACTCTTTGAGCTGGGCAGGGAAGATGATGGCCTATGCCGCAGCCATTCTGAAATAGCTGGGAGTCATCTGAAACTACACGATCAACATATTAGCAGGATGCAGGGGCTTCAGCTTTTGAGATGGATCCATCCAATCGATGTTGGTGGATTTTTTTTCGGCGATTGTTGGAACCCTTTAGAACTCCTGTGCTAGTGTCGGCATATACCCAAGCCTCCTTTTTGCTAAGTGGTATGAATCCATGGTCAGAAGCTAAGGCCCTATATACATCAGAAAGGAAGCCACATTTTGCAATCCGAGTACTCTGCTCCCCAAATCGCGGAGCAGCAATCTCGGAAATCCTACACTAGAAGGTATTTCTAATGTTCCTCAAAGCGCGGCCTACAACTGAGGCCTTGGGATCCCCTTCAGAGGAGGTGCGTCAGCTAGTCAGATGGTTCCCTGGCTCTCCGAGATCTGGGTATGCAACCATGGTGCGCCTTTCTCTCGGAACATGTATGATACGGTCTATCATGTAGTAATGCATGTAGAGAAGCGATAGCTTGGACATGACCGCCTGCGTGGATGTTGGCATTCCCTACAGAATTGCTCATGAATAAGCGACGGCCCGTAACATCCGTGTGCATCATATACATGCTGACTGGCTGCTGGAATCTTCAAGATAGCTGGGCGCACTATTCTTCGCGTTGTGCAAGCTTGGTTCGCGTTGCCCTCTGAAATTGGTGAAGATTCCGTCGGTGTGTCTGAGGTATTACCGAAATTCCTCCGAAGGCAGGGAGTGTTTCAAGCCCGCTCATGGCAGAGTTTGGATGGGTCGTGTGCTTTCCACAGCATTGGTCTTAAATTGTTGGGATGCACAGGGGAATGGCAGTGGCTAGGTGGTTTATAGTCCCAAAGTTTCCGCTGGCTGCAGATGCTGACCACGTGCCCGCTCAGCTGATCCGCCTGGCCTGTGACTCGTTGGAGGGACAAAGAGCCCTTGCAGCTGTGGCACAGGCACCTCAAGCCAACAGTCAGGCTTCTTAGCACAGGAATCAGGACTTAATGTCAGGGGGAAGGAAGTAGGCACCTAGCAGCCTGTACCAAGACAGTTTTTGCTCGTCAGCCGAAGTAGACAGACCAGAGTGCAGACTTTTCCCTCTGAGGTATTGTCCCTAGCAAATTCCGAGCTTTGCTTGTAGTCTCATGTTTTGGGGTGTTTGAGGTCTCCTCTCTGAAGACATGGTGCGTTACTCATGTGGGCTTCACTGGATCCAAGACTTCCAGATCTCAATCTATTCAAAAAAAGCTGTGAGACAGAGGTGGCGTTTCATGAGGCAGCCATCTCTACATAGCGAGGCCGAATTCGAGGAGTACGTCTTGGACTTGATCCGGGCTATCCTGCAGAAAGTTAGCGCTTGGGCAAAGCTAGTTTGTTCTGGCGCGCGCGCTCAGCACCCATAATTCAGGAGACTTGCAACAAATCTTCTTAGAACTCCCAGGGCGTCACCTTTCACATGTTGTTTCATTTATGTGCATTGAACTCTGCGGGCAACCCCAGGAGATAAACCACCTGCCACCCTTGCAGACTTCCCACATTCCTCGTAAATTCGCAGGTTTTTTGAATCATGTTTTGCTCAGTGTTTGATGTCCTTGCGCGCCAGAGCCGCCGGAAAAGGTTGGCTAAATTTTGCAACAGTTCATGATCAGAAAGAAGCCGCCCAGAACGGCCAAATTGCCCATCTCACATGCACTATATTCTAAACTCCTACGATCCCCCTTAATTTATCCTAGAATACTCCTCTACATAGTCCCCTATATAACCCCCTTTAAGCAGATTAGACTAATCTCACATGCCTTTGTAGGCAAGACTAAGAGGCCCAGCAAACATGCCATGCCGACGATTGAGGTGAACTTGGCCTCCCAGATCCAGATGGTCTTGTACTTTCAGGCACACTACATGCAACACTGCTGCTGTTGAATCACATGGCAGCGCACCGGCCACGTAGTTCTGCGTGTCGAGACGGGTCGCTGGGTCGCTGCAGTAGCACTGGGATTAGAGGCCATTGATACCATGCTGGAGGTTTGCTACGGCGTGAGCTTATTGCTGTGATGGATCCCTCACATGGCCCTTCTGAAGAATCGCCATACCATGGCTGGAGAATGTTTTCTCCATATTGCCTGTGCTGCGGCATACGTATGCCTGTAGAACGTAGAAGATGTTGTCCATCAGCTTGCGACATCCTAGCAGGCAGCCATCCCATAAAGTACTGGCATGTGCAAGGTGGGTGTGCCTTGAACGTTCTCGCAAACCAGCGTGTCTTCGACGAAATTGTGGACACTTCGGGCGGAAAACATCTCGACAGTGAAGATGCTACTGGGGCCTTGCCGTCCTCTGCCCAGATCAGTTGTTGAAATTGCACCTCTTCGAGAATAAGCGCGGCCTAGTAGTGTGATGCAAGCCAGACTTGCTCTTCCAGAAGCGCAACAGCCTTCAGGTACCGTGGCCCCCATTTCAATTCCATAGTCGTGCTGGCTGGCCTTGAAGTTCATAACAAATTCAGCCAGACAACTCTGCATGCGGTGGAGGAGATGCGGCCGTCCAGTAAACCTATGGCTGCTCAGCTCAAACTTGCGGAGTTGACACTTCTTTTTACTTACGCGCGTGCTGCCACCTGAGCGCAGTCCAAACAAATGCCTGTTGCCTACCTGCATGCCGCCGCATCCTGCAGCATCGGTTCGTGCGGAAAGGGTAAACGCGTGTAAGCACGCTCAGGGCCTGCACATCACTGCTGCTCCCAATGATTCTGGACTCTCAGTGGGCGGCAGCTGGGCCATCGTTCCTCCTAGCAGCTGGCAACCGCTGCAGTATGCTGCTTGCCTTCCACGAACACCTGGCATCTTTTTGTAAGGTACTTAGTTGAATATAGTTAAACTGCATGCAAAGAAAAAGCTGGAGTTCCAGGGGCTTGGTCGCTCGAGGGCATTTGGGATAGCAACTCGCTTTGAGACGCAGACGGTGAATGGAGTGGACTGTGGAGTGCACAGGGTTGTGGGTCTCAAGACTTGGTGCCAGAAGGGATGTGTAATAGTGTGGCTGCTCCAGGGGTGGAAAAAAACTAGGGTTTTGGATGCAGGCCTTCGCACTTAAGCAGCTTGCTGTCAAACTCTGTTTTCGGAGTGGCGTTGTCACTTCCGAAAATGAACACCCTCATATTGCAATACCTTGGCATGCTCAAACGCTATGGCTGAAAAGTGTCACCATCGGGCACTGCAAATCGTAGAAGGCATTGTTTGATGGCCCGTCCCCGTCCGGTGTTTTTTTTGTCTCTTGCGGTGTCCAACTTCTACAAATGGCGATTTTTTCGCTCCAGAAATGGCGCATCAGAGAAGCGCTTTCAGCGCAGCGGTGCGAGCTTCCCAAACCTGAAGCCTCAAGCCAAGGTTGGCTTCCACCTTTGGGTGCCTCGGCGCATTCTTTTTGAATTCTGCTAAAGTAGAGTGGACTAATGGACAGCGAGCAAGAACTTTCTAGCCCCCCAACAAGACCTCCTCGATGTCCTGTGAAGCCTGCGGGTTGTCTGAGCTGAGGACTTTCCTTTCCTACCTGACCATGCAGAGAAATGGGGTGCAAAGGATCTGGAAAGCTTAGGCAGTCCCGCTTGCAACTGTCTGAGCGTCTCTGAGCAGTTAGCTGCCTTGTTGGGTTCCTTGTAGGAGCTACTCATAGAGTTTAGACAAAAGGCACCTGCCTTGCCAAGATGCTGACATATGTTTGGACCTGCCGCGCAGTTTTTCAGAGAGATTTACTTCTAAAGGTGCGCTTCCATCTGATGGGGGGATATCCTTGAATCCTTCAGCATTTGAAGCGTCTATGCTTGCCGCAGGCACGTACAGCATGCCAAGCCATGTCACCGATGTGAACGCATGCGCAGGTAGCAGAGCTAAGGGCTATGCACCTCACCACGCAAAAAACTTGGCTTGTCGCAGCCCAATCTGCAGAGGGCTGTGTATAAACTATAATGACTTCCCAAACTTTGAGTGTCTGGACCCGGTACTCAGAGCATGCAACAACAATCCTCAGGGGAACCCATGACTCTTATTATCACGTCCCTGTTATCCTAACACTACCTCTTTTCAGCAACTTCATGCACGGTACCACCATGACAGGTGGCGTGGAGTACCTAGCAGAGCTGCTGTCTGGCGGCCCTGCTTGGATTGCCCAAAGAGGCAGGGCTGGGCCTTGTTTCGGTTTTATGTTTGCGCGATTGATGTGGAAGTCCTGCGCTAGGACCAGCCACAGCACGTTACAGCCTGATTTATGAGGCTCCAGTGCGTCACCCGAGCTTTCTCAGACTGGTCAGCCAGACTCTAAGGGACCCCGGCTTGAGCAAATGTCCCAACGGTAGCAACCGAACAGTGGCGATTGACAACTAGGTTCCCAAAGCCTTGGTAATTCCATTGCCTAATGCCTCCGAATAGCCATTTTGGCTGAAGCATTTCTCTGATTAGCCACGCCGTACGCAGAACAAGTTCTTTCGCCACTGACGCCATGGCAGAGCTGACTTCAGTGGCTGCCCCGCCGAGCCCCGTCAAGGACGAAGGCAACGCAGTGGTGGATGACCCCAAGGCCTACAACACGGAGAAAGCAACGGTGAAGTCCGAGCAGCAGGCTGAGGAGCGGGAGCCCAGCACCATCATCCTCTTCTGGCTGTGCTGTGTCAGCGCCTTGGAGGGCTTAGATACACAGCTGGTGCCAGCTTGCCAGTTTGCACTGCAGCGAGACCTTGGTCTGAGCCTGGGACATTTCGCCATCCTGACCACCGTGCAGATGGTGCTCACCAACCTGGCTGCACCCTTCTGGGGAATCCTTGCAGACCGTGGCACCCTGAAGAAGAAACATATCCTGTTCATTGGCGCCTTGGGCGAGGGCCTTGCAGTCTCCATCTTTGCGTTCGTTCCAAACTTCTTTGTGATGGTGCTGCTGCGGGGTATGAGTGGCTTCTTCTTGGCCTCACTCCGACCTGTCTGCAACGGTCTCATTGCAGACCTGACCTCAGACAACCGGCGGGGCAAGATCTTTGGTCGCGTGCAAAGTGCTCTCCTCTTTGGCATGTTCTGCTCCCTGCTCATCGCAGGCAACGTTGCGAACCCCTACGTGGGTGACATCCCAGGCTGGCGCTTCCTCTTTGCTGGTGCCGGTCTTGTGGCCTTCTGCGTTGCTGCTGGGGTCGCTGGCTTCCTTGTGGAGCCACCGCATCAGCTGGAGGCTGGCTCGGAGAAGAAGGGCTGCGCTGCGGTGCGTACAGAGCTGTGCACAGTCTTGAATTTCCTGTGCATCCCAACATTTTGCGTCATGATCATGCAGGGCGTTTTTGGCACGATCCCTTGGAGTGTGATGGGCAACAACCTGCTCTACTTCAAGCTGTGCGGCCTGGAAGACTGGGAGGCAAGCATCCTCGCCTCGGAGGGCACCGTCATGGGGATGTTCGGTAACATCATCGGGGGCATGGTGGCCGACGCCCTTGCCAGGCGTTTTGGCTACCACGGCAGACCTCTCAGTGCGCAGATTACCGTGGCCATCGGCATCCCCTTGGTCTTCCTGCAATTCTATGGAATTCCTGCCGGCTCCGGAAGCTTTGGAACCTACTTTGCACTCATTGCTGGCTTCGGCATCCTGGGATCCTGGGCACAGTCAGGCACCAACTTCCCCATCCTCTCCGACATCGTACCCGCCAGCGACCGCAGCAAAGTGATGGCTTGGGAGTGTGCCATGGAGAACTCACTGGCAAATGCCATTGGCCCTGCCATGGTCTCCACTTTAGCCACAGGAGTCTTTGGCTACACCTTCGGTGAGGAAGAGAAGAACGGAAAGTCCTTGCACTCTGCGACGGCTCTTGGAAGCGCAATGGCGGCCACCATTTGCATTCCTTGGCTGATCACCCTGGCGGCCTACACGCTGCTCCACTGGAGTTATCCTCGAGACATGCGCCGCCTGCGTGCCAAGCAGCAGGCAGCAACTGAAGCTCATCTGTAGGCTGCCCCGATGGTGCAACCGACCACCCGGGTTAGCGCCCTCGGCGAGGTTTTCCTTGCGGGTGGAGCCACCAGATTTAATGGCGTGCCGAAGGCATGTCCACTGATGGCAGAATTTGGTAGCAGCCAGATCATGAGCTATGCGAACTTAATAAGCAGCCCAGAGAGCAACATCTTCAGATATGTTCAGTACAGCAACGACGCATCGCTCTTCATCTGGCACTGCACGGAACTTGCGCAGGCTGAGGCATTTTTTAAAGATGCCTCTCAGCGTGAACTTGACACAATGGGCACGCTTGATGTGCTCCTAAAGTCTCGAATTCAATATTTTTGATCTTCGTGAGGTGCGCGCGCAATCGCACGACCGCCTCCATTCGACGCAGCCTCATTCAGGCGAAAGCGTCTATAGTGGGGCCAGGCCTCTAGATGACGCCGTGGTCCTCTGACCTTAGGTCTTCTGGGCGCTGGGCAGCTCGCGAGTTCTGTGGGGGCAGGAGTCTTCTCCACGGAGTTGTTGCAGAATTGCGAAGGGCTGTAGACTCAGACCACCTGCTTCCACAGACCTCACTTGCTTTCCATGCCCCGCACAGAGTGGCGCGTGACCTACAAGCTGGATTACGCGACCCTACGGGTTTGAAGCTCTATCTCCTTCCAAATCACTGTAAAGGCAAACGGGAAGTCGCAGAACAGTCCAAAAGGGACCTTGCCGTGCCTGCAATGCAAGGTGCGCGTTGAAAGCATTGGAGTGAGGCCACAATGCCGCCAAGCCCATCATCGGAGTTGTCCGAGATCGCCAGGACGCTCCGGAGTTCCTCATCATGACCTCCAAATAATCCTGCTGAGCATTGCCTGGGGTCGGTCTGTCATGTGATACTTCACGAGCGTGACACTTCACGGGCGGCCAGCGGCTTTGGCCCCGTTCGTCTCGTTTCAACACCGTCATGCCTGAATCGGCAGTCATTCGTCCGATCGTCACATGGTTTGGGACCCACTTACACTCAGTCAGGCAGGCGTAGTTCGCCTGGACGCCTGCTGTTGTCTTGGCATTCTTTTCTGAGGAGTTTGGGCCCAGAGCTCTGGGCCACCGCTCCCTACTGGCTGTGCCGGACTCGGTGGAGATGCGAGAGCGCATGAACAGGCCCAGTGCAAATGCAATGGCAATGAGGGCCATGGTAGATTCAGGGAAGAACGGCTACAACATCCAGAGGGATGATAGGAACAATGATGCCGTACGTCCCAACAGGCAACTGCACCCCAGGAAGGCAAGTTTGCGTGAGTCGAACATTGCTCATGTCACAAAATTATTACTTCATGAAGTTATTGTCAGTCTAGAGGCATGTGATGGCATGTGGCATTGAGATGGGATCTGACTGAGTTTGGCGCCATAGTTTTGCTCGTGGCATTGGCTGTGTCAAAGTTCTGCGTTATTGTCGTATAAATAAAATCTGCGATCATGTGAACAAACTCACATGCTGGCCGTCATTTGGCTACAGCAGTGTCAGCAGACATCTTCAGAACATCAAAACGAGTCTAGACATTGTTTAAGGGTTCCGCAAGCCCATGGATGCAGAGAAAGCCAAGCCCAGAGCAGACAATCAGCGTGCAACAGGGCCCAAGGAGGTAGCAGGAGTGGGCCCAGACACAGAGCGGGCCACTCTGTGTCGTCTTTCTCCCTGCTGCGTCCAACAGCCTGCCCGCTCAGCTGGAGCTCCACACCTCCCTGAAGTCAGTGGGCCATTTCAAGTTGCACTCTCACTGAGACCCCCCTGAGTTGGAACCCTGCTACATCTCGGCAGCCGCTGCAAGAACAGCAACATGATTTTGCAATGCGTCAGCTTCATGACAACATCACGAAGTTGAAGAAGTTGTTGTTGTTGTTGTTGTTGTTGTTGTTGTTGTCGCTGTTGCTGTCGCTGTTGCTGTTGCTGTTGTTGT